GACAAACGGGTCGATTAAAACTCAACTTTAATTAATTAAACACGCCATTCGTGTTTTTAATCGCAGGAACGGCGAGAGACAAGGTCTGCACGCAGAGCGCGCCCGGGAACCCTTTTTAGAAATCGGGCTCTTGATCGGTGCAGCCCGGTCACGCGGTTTTCGCTCTGTCCGTGGGCTTCCGTGCGAGTCGGTGCACCTCCAGTTTCACGGCCGGGGCTCATCCCTCACCTCCCAGTGTCTCACGGGCCGTTTCGGGGTCTCTGGGTTGGACCCCCAAGCCTGCAGTCCGCCGTCGGATTCGGCCAGACGTCCACGCTGTGATTGCGCCCGGGCGTTTTAATCCGAACGGCTGTCGAACTGGGGACATTTTCAGGGTGGAAAGTCTGCGCAAAGAACTGAATTCGTTCACCGTTCTCGTCTTGGCGAGAAATGTGTGATTTATTCTTGTTCCAAAGAGACAGTCGTCGTGAAAGATGCGGAATAATTCTATCCTGAGCGGCGCAAAAAAACCCGCAACGAACTCTCCTGGTTCTGATGCTCACATGTCGTGTTTCAGTGCCGCGGGGCGTGTATATATTTATTTATTTTTACTGGAGTTGGCTTCGACTGCAGCTCGGAGTTAATCTGGGACCGCTGGAGATTGTGATAACGGCGCTTTCACGGGCTCCGTGTCACCGCTCGGCGAAACACAGCGATTCCATTCGGATAGTTCAAGCTGCGTTTTTTTCTTTAAATAATAAACATGAAATCGATTAAAAAGTGTGTGTTTTCCCGGTTCGCCTTGACTGGCAGGTCACAGAAATTCGTATCGGAATGGGAATGAAAATACGGCGAGTTTAGATGCGGGCTTCTACCTTCAGTTTATTATTGATTATAATCATAATAACTTGTAACTCGATATGGATAATATAATATATTATAATAATATAATAATATTATTTATTATTAAATAATTACAGTATTAGCATAAAGAGACGTATTATCTTTTATTATTTCTTTAAGTTTTAGGAACGGTTTCATAGGCATTGATCGATTATTTTTGGCCTGCAAGTTTAGTTGTACTTGTCATTAGAATTTCAATTTTAAACAACAATAACAATAGTTTTATTTGATAAAGTTGTCCGAAAATGGTGACCCGTCGCGTGCCAGAAACTGATCGGCGCGAGGGCACCGGGGGATAGTCGCGAGAACGTTCTAGAAACCGGAGGCTCTTGCCGCTTCCGGCGCTCGCGGCCCAGTTCTGGAGCGCCTCCGCGCGTCCTGGACAGCCGGTGGCGGCGTGGGAGCGCGGTACGGAGGCGTCCCGGGGGACCAACACCAGTGAGAGCGCCGGCTCCGGTCCCGCCGGGGTCGGGTTCTCCAGGGAATGCGGTCGGAACCCACGCCTTGGAAAGTCCTGCGTGGAGCTGCCGTGTGGCCAGTGGAGTGTGTGTCTGTGAGTGGGGGCGGCGGCTGGGTTTGCTGGCGTGCTGTTTTGCAGCGTGTCCCGTTACACACGTC